TAGTCACAATTTTTTTTTTACAAGGATTCAAAGTTTGACTTTTGACAACATACGTAAAAATTACGGCAATGTACAAATTATTTTATGCTAGAAATTCATAAAAAAATTTTATTTGAAATCTAAGATTTTTCTAATTAATATTAATCATATTATTATTATTCATATTAATCTAAGAAAATTTTTCATAATCTATAATATATCCTAGACCGATAAACCGTCTTCGCTCAGAATCGTTTTTCGTATACAATGATATAATATCCATTGGATTCAAATTTAATTCCATCCATTACATAACCCATTTGTAACCTGGTACTGTACAGCAGAGCGACATCAACGACTTACCCGCCTTTTTATCATATCAATTTAATACATATTTTCATATAACAAAATATGAAAAACGCAGTTATTGTCTTATGGATGTGATAGATACAAATTACAAATAACGTTTTCGATTTGGGGGTGGACGTTATCCCTTGAAACTGTTCTATTTGCACTCATGGTGTGATAGCAGGTCTTATAACTTACAAGAATAATCGAGTAGCTTTATATTTGTTGAAAAATATACTGTACCAAAGATGCGTGTTGTTTCTTAGAAAATTTATTTGCGAGATTGCCTGATATAATTATTATTAATTAGAGAAGATTAAACTCTTGGTGTTGGTTATAACTCAGTAAATTTGCACATTGATATACAAATATTATGTTACTATCATTATTGTCTATATTATTTTCCAATTACCATGAAATATTAAAAATAAATAAGCAAAATATAAGTTTATTATTTAATGAGTACTTATCACTATTATTTTATTATTATTTATTACCTTTGTGATATTGATATAAAGAAAAACTCAATAATTTATTTATAAGGACTTATTTGTTTACAAAAAGAGTCGTAAAATAGTATAGTGCTTGGTTCTACTGCAGTGCATATTTACTTATAAGTTCTTTTTTTTAAATATCAAAACGATTAAACTATAATTTTTTGTATGTTTAATAAAACACGAGTATTTGGAATTAATATTTACAAACAGCTTTTGATGATATTAATAAATAAAAAACATTAAGAACTCGTGTATAACATGTTGGACATATAATAAATATGTGTAATATTAATCCCCAAAAATATTTATATTAAAAGTGTTGTTTCGTTGATTTTAAAATACATTTTATTATTTTAATTTTTTTTTAAATATGCAAGTTTGTTAAAACATCACAAATTATACTTGGATAATATGTTTTAAGTTTATAACATAGATACCTAACTTTATAGTAAAAGTTTTACCGTTTGTGTCTACAGAACTACGATTTAAAGTTATAAAGCCAAACGCACGTTATCTCTCATAATCGTTGTTTAGACTAGAAACTATGGTCTATGACAATTACCCCACCATTACTACAGACAATGTCTTTGTGTTGTAATGTTAATATAGGTGGGTAACGTATAATAATGAGAAAAACTATATATTTTATGAATTTTTTTCTTTTATTTGCCTTCTTTTCAACCAAGTTATTGTCATAATAATAAAAAATAACAATGATAATAATATGTTTATTATTGCGTAATGCTATTACCGCCTCTCGCGTACTCTGTCCGAATATTCCTCAAGGAATTTAATTCCAAATCAAACACTGTGCAATCGACTAAGAGTAGTTCACCGGCAGCATTTTATCGTGAGTTCAGTGCTATTACGCCGACGAATTTCTTTTAAATTATTTACCGAATCATCTCACGTAGTGCACCCATTTTCTCGCGAGTCAACCGAGGACAGTATATTTATACACACACACACACCTATATGTGCGTACTATATATATATTAATATATTGTACTTGAGATTAAGACTAGAACCAATACTTACATACATTGATTGCATTTGTGTGTAAATTACTCACGTGTACTTAATATACATTTTTATAAGATTTTTTTACAGGAAATCACCCAGCGCCTTAATCTTAACTTATTTACGAGTGATTTAAAAAAAAAAAACTAGCACGTCCGTACAATCAGTCTATTTTACTTAATATATATTTACTTTTAAAATTGGACATTAATTAAAAATCAATTTTGATTGGATGATGAGTTAAAAATATCTCAATCATCCGGAAATAGCACTACAATCTAAAAATCTTGAAATACGCAGAATAAAATTTTGAATTTCAATTTTCTGAACTATGAAAAAAATTTGAGCTTACCCTGCTATATCTAAGAATATTATAAGAAATATTAAAATGCTATAAAATCCTAGCTCTGGTAATAACTAGGTAGGTATTTGTAACATGTATTAGTTATAATATTTTGAATTAATATTGGTGCTAGATTATAAAAAACACAACCTATTTGTCGATGGGGGTGGACATTATTCCTAACCTTCTCCCTTCTGGACATACCACTGATCAGTGATCGTTATTATATAAGATCTCGATGGTCACTTATATGTTGCGAATACTTCACTTACATACTCACTGGAGCTTGAAATCGGTATCGATATATTTATTCCATTGGTATATCCTTTCTGAAGATTATCTTATAATCTAACCGAATTCGATACTTTTAAGTGAGTGATTATACGAAGCAAAACTCACGTGGTCATTTGGCCATACTGCCTTACCATGACCATGTTGCTGGCCACGTGACCAACCACCGGTGTACCGTGTCTTGTCCGGCCAACTTGCCGTTCCGGTGCCGTGCGGCCGCCCGTCCACCCAGTCACCGGAGTAATTCAACGCGCCGTCCGGTTGGCTGACGCAGCAGGCTGTTTCACCACTTCCATTCCTCTTGCCGTTCGTCCACTCACCGCTGTACCAGCGACGGCCGTCTTCGCTGGACACGTGCAGTCCTTGGCCGTGCCTGAGGCCCTTCAGGAATTCACCTCTGTACCAACTGCCGTCCAACCATTTTATGACGCCCCTGCCCTCGGGAATACCGTCCTTCAACTGTCCCTGTAGGGGCGTGAGAACATTTTTCTCTAAGTATACGTGACCTGCCAATGGTGCCCAGGTCATCGTCGAAGTGGGATGAAGGACTTACCGTCTACCTATAATGGCTGGCACGATTATTCAATACTGCGTTGAAATTCAATTACATACGATATACAGTGGTAGTATGAGAATTTTAAAAACGATCTCTGACACTCATAACGTATAATATAACATAAATATTTTAATTAACTCTATATTCAGAGCAATGAAGTCTAAAGTAGTCATACCTATGAGACTTGAGCAACGTTTGCTAATAATTGTTCGTACGAAAAAACACGAAATTACCTATCCGATTGTTGATTTTGTGACTATTCGATTTTGCAGATTATATTTGTTGTAAAAGTTAAATAAAAAGATTTTATAATAATTGTACAACAAATCCATTAATAACGAATAATGATTAATGAATATTATGAAATAATTTATTACATCAATATTCAAAACTTTTCTAATAAATTAATTGGGTTAGTGTATATTGTATGATAATTATTTGCAACATTGACCAATACACCTCATTGTATATGCGTAGTCTATAGCTATTCGGTTATTATACATATTACATATATATGTATATCTGAGTATTCAACTAACAGTTAATATTAATAATACCATGATTTACGTGGTAAGGAACGAATGTCTACAGAAGTATTTAAACCATGATCGATAAGTTACGGTGAGTGTAATACGTATGATTAAATAATTTTCATACATTAATAATAATAATAATAATCTACTGTTAAGGTCTGTTAATGTACCTATTCAGCTTATAATTGGGACAAGAGAAGAAATTGCAGAATTACTGTATTATTAATTAAAATACCATAAAACGTACGTGGGAGGAGTAATATTATGATAGATGTATATGGATGTTTCCAGATTTTAAAAGCTCTGATAGGAATTTTTGTGGTTTAGTTCGTAAACGGTGCGGTGGATTCAAGGAAATTTAGCTTCTGAAGCTGATTACATCGGATGTCCGTACATCACGTCTGGTTAACTTATATAAGTATATAAGTATACTAGGTATATACTATATATGTTTGCATGTATTTGGACAAATCGCATTATTTATAGAAGTTATATGTGTGCGCCTACGACAAAACTAATTACGCAATGACTGAGTTTTGCTTATTTATAAGTTACCGAGAGCGGTAAATGCAAATGTGATTTTACGATTCGCCAGACGTGGACAACATTATCATAATCGAATAAGCCTGAGCAATAACTGTAGAATGACGCAGTGATGAAATATGGTAACCGTAAACTCCATATACCTATTCGACATATTAATGATCAATTATACAATTTAGAATAAAATATAGCAAGAAAAATAAAACTTAATCAAAAAGAATTAATTTACATTTTCAATTTCAAGACAACTAATACTGTAACATAAATTATTGATTGTATACCTGTGTTATCGGGGTATTAAATAATTTGAATTTAAAGGGAATAATACTGAAATGTTGATCTTCGAGCTAATTATCAAGTCATGAAACTGGCTAAATATCAAGAAATTTCAAAAACTACATAGTTAATTCAATACCCAACTACAATTAGTGAACAGCGGCGAAAACATGTGATAAAATTAATCATAATTTATATATATCAAACATTTTTGCTCGTTTTGAGTTAAAACGAATTAAACAGCCCGAATAGGCTGGATAATAACTGAAGATAGATTAGGTTTTAAAAGACAAAGAGAAGCAATAGAAGATATTTTAGAGCTTATAATAAGTGATTGAAAAAAACAACGTTTAAAGCATCTAACGTAAAAAAACAAAAATTATATGTATCTGTATTTATATTAAAATTTGATGATGTGAAAAAAGTGTAAAAAGATGTTTGTAAATACCAAAAAGAGCAAAGGTTAACATATTATAAGGATAGAAGAATAATTAAAATTTTGTACAAGCAATTTATAGGAGGTAGTATAATGTGTATCTGTCAAGAAGAGGAAGGAAAGGAGTGAGATAAAGGTACACAGAAGCAATAGATGAAGTTAGAGAAAAAGTTATAGCTCATAAAATAAATGGCAAAAGAATAAATATACTTCGATTCATAGTTGACATTACAGTAAAAACATTTAAATAAGAGAGCTTAAAGAATATTCTAAGAATAATTAGTGTAACAAAGAAAGGTTTATTCAATGTGAAAATAAAAAGCAAAAACTAAAATTCTGGTATGCTATAGTCGTAGGTAAACCAAACTACTTAAGTACACTGGATGGTGACACTTTAGTAAACTAGTACAAAGAACTTGAAAGTTATGATTGCCACAGTATCAAAGAAATAGTAAGTAGAATAAATGCATATTTTATAGCAAGAAGAATACGCGAATCCCTAAAAAAAATATTGACATAAATGGGAGGAAAATATACTTAAGGCTTATGTTTGGAGTGTTTAGTAATGATACATGAACTATTGGTAAAACAAAAGAAAAATATTTTATTTAATTTGAGACATTGTCGTAGACGGATGATTAGAATAAGTTGTACAAAACATAAAACATAAAAAATGAAAATACCATCCGATTCATCCGAAGAATCGGGGAAACAATACACAAAGTTCTTGAAAAAAGTAAAAGTAAATTGGACTAATATTCTACACCATAACGACAAGTCTAATCAGTAGAACTATAGAAGTTGCCAAGGACAAAAACTCAGGAGCGGGAGACCACTAATAGATAAGTAATAAAATACGCTAATTATTGCAAATCCTATTGCGAGATGAAAAGGAATGCGAAGAAAGTCGAGCAGTGAAGAACTACTGCCAACAAACCTTTAGTTTGTTACTTTAAGAATAAGTCTTCTGAAAAGTAAAGTTAACATTATAAGGCTCTTATGATACCAATACATATCTACGTTTATGTTGACATTAGGTTGTGAACATTTTACCTCGTAAATGGTACCGCCGTTCATACATAGACGTCCTGTGTTGTGTGGGATTGATTCGGATGTGAGTCCTTCAAACACGTTACCCGATATGTATGTCACCCGTCCCATGATTTGACTTTCACTAACTGTTCCAAGTTTTTCCTGAATTTCCAAGGTTTCTGATGGAGACAGCTGTTCTTCGCTTTATTAAAAAGTTGGTTTCAAAAATTAAAAGATTGAAGTGGAAAGTAAGTAACCACTCTGATGACTAATGCACTGCATTAAATTGTAGGTGTCAAGTGTAACTCGTCATTGAGTAAGTCACGTTGTAATGTACCTATGTGTTAAATTCGAACTCAATGCATACGTCAATTTATACAGAAACGATTTTGAACGAGGATGGTATATTAGCGAATATTTCTAAATATGTTTTAATATGTATTTATGTTGTGATTAAAATAATTTATTTGAGTATCAGTTATTATGTAATATGCGGTAGGTTGAACTATTTTTTTTGAAAATATTGCATTTTAAAATGTAATTGAGTGTATAAAACATAATGATATACGTAAAAGTATAGAAAAACGTTAAAAAATTAAAATACATATAAATATTTTTTGAACATTTGTAACATATCAACTATCTACAGTAATTTTTTTGGTTATTTTGAAAAAATTGGGAATTTTTAATTTTTGACTTCCCGCCTAAACTATACCTAATAGAATATCAGATTCGATTCGCTAACAGAAGTCTAGTTATCATCCCCAACGTTTGAAATCTAAGTACTTTTTCCATACCTACTAGAAATAGTGTCACACATAAATACAACATAGCCCATTATTTTGTAAAATCATCACATTCATCTTTTCTCTTAAATTCTAAGACTTAGAATATAAAATAATTTCTGTCATTACGATGTGACCATAAAATAATGTCTACTTAACTATACTTATATTAATTTAATTACATAAATTCAATCAACTGAAGCGCGGTAATGCGTTTGTAATTTCTGCTTTTATTGTTACTTAGGATTAAATAAATATTGTGACTTACTGATCGATAACGTAATCGATCATCGAATTGTAAAATGTCACGTTCAATTTATGATGGGCTTCAGCTTGTATGACGTCAGGAAGCGGCCACTCATCGAAGCTTTCCAAAAATCTAAACGATTTTTCCGGAGCCCCTAGTGTTAATATTCGAACGGCAACAAAAAAATATTACAAAAAAATATTGTACTGCAGAACTATGTGAAATGCGTATTATGGAATTTTCTCTCTCTAATTTTAATAAATCTGATACTATTATTTGTTGGATTTTCATCATAATAATAATAGCGAGTCTGACATTTGTTTTAATATTTATTTCATTTTGGAGAAATTATTTTAATTTTACATTTTACACGATATTATAATATGTTAGTGGTGCATAGCTTTTTATCAGTACATAGGGTAGCAACAAATTCTGTGTTACAGTTTAAGTTAGTGTATGTAGGTAAGTCTTAAGAGTCATAAAAATATGTGAATGCAMTTTATTAACCACGCTTATTACAATTTATATTTGTATATTATTTTTGTAATATACAACAATTGATTTTGTTTCAAATATTATTTTATATTTTAACATCAATCGAATATTTTTTTTTAAATACAAATATAACCTAATTTTACTATAGCATAATTATTTTTTATGTTTTTAAACCTTCGTATTATTGGATAATTGGTTAATTATATATTATTGTGTGTTTGAACTGACCAATAACTACATTAATGTAATCACATTTAATCAATTCATCGAGAATGATGTGTGCTTTTTAATAACAAAATATTATAATATATTATCGATTACAGCATAATAATTATATTTTTTAGAACGATAATTTAACGAAATATTTTGGCTGTATAAGCTGAGAAAATGTACTTGAATACCTATCTGATTCGATCTCGTATGATTTATTATCATCATTATTATTATATCTAACACAAAACAAGTATAATTATTTAGAATCGTTTGTTTATGTGCATATCTTTTCTTTGCAGTGTTCCATCCTATAGGGGTCATTTTGAAGTCCTAATTAAATAATTATGAATTAAAATAATTATTCTTGAACGGCTTTTCGTGAAATAGGTTTTTAGATAATTGTGTTTAATTA